CATACGAAGAACATTGTGTCACGCAAAACTTCAAGTTCAGAATTTCAAATTTTGTGCGTTTCAATGTTGGGATTTTATTACGTTGTTTATAATGGTGTGTGTTTTTTAATGATCTAAAACACAAGATCTAACTTATTAAATGTCCAGTTTTTTACATCTACAGGGTGCAGCTGTTGTGATAGATCTCTGTCACCTGGGTTTGTAACAGCATTGATAAAGTCTTTACCCAAAGCAGCAGCATATATTCTAGTTTCCGACACGGACTGCCGTAAGTAGAAGTAATTAATGTTATTAGGCCTCGTGTTTATGACAAGTAGTTATAGTGACGAATCTCTAGAACCTTATTTCGTGTTGTTCTTTTTCTAATAATTTCACACTGGAACTAATGTATTTCAAACTCTAATCTCACGAAGAGAAATATCATAAACCTAAACTATTTTTAAACTTTATAATATTATAAAAGCTAAATCAATACAAACAAACAATGGTTAATTTCAAGTGAGACGTACCACTATCTAGACAATTGTGAAGTTTGGAGAAGGGTAAGTATTAATAATTTTTCTTACTTTTTATGATAAAATAGATTAGATTCAAATAATAAAGATCACTTTTGTTTCGTAGTTAAACAGCCAGTTTATAGAGCGTATTGTTATATGTGGTTCATACAGATCCGATCAACTACTGGTAAGTGTTTTGATTTAGTTAGTTTACTAGCAGACGCACCATGTCATATGAGCATTACAGCTGTTAACTGCAGAGTATATTATTACTAAAAAAATTATTATTGAACTAAATATTTTGGATCATTGCACTTTGTTCAGTTTTACTTATAAGATTTAAATTGAATGTTTGGAATTTAGGCCTCAAATGTTCTAGTAGTAATAGCTTGTGAAGCTTATTAAAGTTTATGAAAGAAATTTGTCGAACTGAACAAATACTATCGAATAACGAAAGTTTAAACTCAAAGCTGCACAATAAACCATAGGGATCAACCCCCGAATTTTAGCGTTACAAGCCCTCAAGCTTACCATTGAGCCAACTAGGTGGAGAAGGAGGAGGACAACGACATATAAAACAGCATATCTTTATTTGTGGAGCGCCCCCCCCCAGTGGCACAGCGGTATGTCTGCGGACTTACAACGCTAGAATCCGGGTTTCGATACCCATGGTGGGCAGAGCACACATAGTCAATTGTGTAGCTTTGTGCTTAATTACAAACAAACAAGCAATTTGTGGAGCGATGTAGTTTAATTTTTAGATCAATATCGTTTTATTTTTAATACATGGATGTTTTGTACTTGACAAAAAAAACATGTAGAACCAAGTTGAACATTTTCATTCTCCTTAAATGGATGTTGTGGAAGTTCGTACATATGTACTTATATATATACATATGTACTTATATATACATATGTACTTATATATATACATATGTACTTATATATACACATGTACTTATATATATACATATCTACTTATATATACATATGTACAAACTTCCACAACATCCAGCTTTGAAAAAAAGCTTATAATATTGATGTTTCACATATGAAATACTACAAGCACGATTGTACATTAAAATAATACATGAATATGTAATCTATAATTATAGTTATAGTATTTTGGCACTTGTGTATAAAGTTACAATCATAAATAATATTCTACGTTAAACTGGTACACAGTTAAAAACATTTTATAATTCACTCCTGAGGATGACGTTGTAACGTCGAAACATGTAGGGTCGTCAACTTTTTGAAG